ATTTGAAAGAGTCTAAAAACCAATTTTAAGCTTGCGATATTGTTTAAATAACGAAATAATTTAAACGAAAGATTGTTTAAACTACAAATTGTATCAATCAGAAATTGTTGAAATGAAAGATCGTTTATGTACAAAAGATTGTGTAAATGGCAGATCATTCGAATAAAAGATTGTTTAAGTCAACAATTGTTTAAACGTTTGAAATTTCTTCTGAGATTCTACTTTCTGATAATATTCAATTCATTCAGGGCATTCGTTTGAATGATAATAATCAGGTGTGGGGTACGGGTAACAATGTAAAGGGCTGATCGCGTGACACAGATCCATTTCCCAGGCATTAGGAAATTAAAGGGTTTAAACCGAACACCATAGAACAACCGGCCGGTACAACTCATTCGTCTCCTCCTCCTTCTAACGCGTCTTAATTATATCTCTCGTCCCTCTTACAAAGCCGGCGAGATACACGGGGAAATGTATAATCGTAGGTTGGCCCGTCCTATCATTATTTCATAGTCTGCCCAGGAATTAGAAGATCGTTGCGTATACTTCAATTAATTATCACGCCGCGGTGTTTCAAGGTCGACCTTCTTCCCCGAGGAAAACACACACACGAATTAACGTTACCCAACAGCCATTACCATTTTTCTTTGTTCCAATCAAGTCAACAAATAGTCCCCCTAAATGTTCAAAATTACTAATTTTTGGTAAGATGTGTTTCAAACCAAAAAATTCAACTTGACAAAGTTCTCCACCGAACATCATCTATTTACAAAAGTAGGACCCGCGATTTTTACAGAAAATCTTTTTCCAGACTATTTCAAATAGAATGATGTATAGTTTTGTAACGACAAGTACATGAAATATTTTTAAACGATTTTTGAAACCAACGCAACTATAAATTGCTATCTGAATAGTTATGAATCCAAGGCGAGTTGCAATTGTATTAAGCGATACATAGTGTTTTAGATCGATCGAAATCGTCGGGAAAAGTTGCGAGAGGAATTTCGTTTTCAGTTGAAAAAATAATTGTTGCCGCCACCTGCGAGAAACAGGTTCCGACGGCGTGTCGAACATTGTAGAGCCGTAGGAACGAAGGCACGCGAGGAGAAAACATGGACGGAAGACATAATTAGGACGAGCCATCCTTCGTTTAAGTTTCTGAGCACTAGTTGCAGCCATTACGAATTCTGCGGCCTTGTTCTTTGCTCGTTAAATTTAATGCCGGCCAATTCCCTCGTCCGCCATCCTCGCTTGCACGCTCCGAGGATCGTGGCGGTTCAGCAACTACCTTCTGAAATCTGCTTTTCATAGTTCCCGTTATCCTAGTTTCCCATAGCCTCGCCATGAAGCCTCGGAAAAAATGTAAATGTTTCATACTTGTACGCCAGAATATCTATGAAAATTTCGTAATAGATTACCTTTACCCTTTCGGTACGAAGGCCGCCATATTGGGAACACCTGACGCACGTACCTGTTCTATAAAATCGTAAATAAAGAGGTGAAATATTCGTTTCCGCTTCTATGGCACCGTCATATTTCCGGTTCTTTTTTTATTCGATATAGAACCGGTGCATGATACAAATTAGCATGGAGAATATTTTGTATATCTTAGAGATTAAAATCGGATCAATGGAAGGCATTATGCAACAATGAGAAACGTGCGTGGCACAAGCCAGAAATTGTTTGTACGATTCATCGCAGTCGTTGACTTTCACTCGCTGTTAGCGATGAAACGTGGACTATGACAAATGCCGGCGTAAATTACGTTCCTGTTCCAACCTCTCTCTCTCTCTCTCTCTCTCTCTCTCTCTCTCTCTCTCTCTCCCCCCCCCC